GCAGGGAGTGGGTGGAGTGGAGACAGGGCCTGAGGCCATCCTTTGCCCTCAGGGCACCAGTGATGGGCAATTTAATTCTACTTGCAGATAGAGTCCCATCTCTGCTTTGAACAGAATGTTCAGGCATCTAAGAGATAGAACAAAGTATAAAACTCCACTCCCTACCTCATTAACCTTTATGATATTCGTGCAGCTCTCCTCAATACACAGAGTACTATAGATTCTTGAGACCCCAAAGGATATTTTGTTGTGGTTTTATCAAATTTACACAGGACCCATCTGCAGCACTGGGTAGCAGCTATGTGAATCTTTCAGTGACTAAGGACCTCTGCTTTCTCACAAGGATTTTCCCACAATCCTCTGCTGCCTGCCACAACCATATCCTGTGCCTGCATCCCATCCCTGAACCCTTTCAGTGTGCCTTCTGATGGAGTCTCTAATGTGGTTAGTGGGATCTGCACCCCCTTGATACCTCCTCTTCCAAACCCTGGAGACTGTTCTCCCAGCTGCTTTCTTTCCCCGAGTCTTGCAGCTCATGATTCAGGACTCAGGATGGGGTGAGAAAATAATAGACTTCTTTGGGAGCATCCTGCCCAGCTGGGGAAACTAGGTACTCCCTCATGTGCTCTCACTTTCCCCCTGGGAATCATCCCAAGAAGGTCTCTCTTTGGCACTGAGCTGTGCCACCTTGGAGGAGGGGTGATGTGGGGAAAGTCACACTTAGCCTCTCCAATGCGTGCAAATTCATATTTATTTTTGCTCCAACAGTGTGCTGGAATTTCCTTGCTGGACTCCTGGACTTTCTTGCATGTGGGTGGCTGCCTAAGTCACTGTTCTCCAGGAGCCCCTGAGGCCAAGGGGGGGCCCAGAACCAGTTCACCAGACACTAGGGTCCACAGCCAGGACCAAGATCTGTATGTCTATTGCCCTATGCATGTGTGGAAATTAATAAAAGAAATCTTAACTAAACTGGAATGGGGAAGGCCTGTAGGGGGAGCTCTCATACCCTATCACACATCGTCAGTTACACCAAACAGGAAGACAGATGCCTGCATCTTACAGAGGGAGTAAAACTGCTTTACTACTGAAGGAAGATTTCTCTCCTCACCTGGCAACAGCTCAGCCAATGAGAAACACTGCAGCTCAGCCAATGAGAAACACCACAGCTCAATCAATGAGAAACACTGCAGCTCAGCCAATGAGAAACGCCGCAGCTCAGCCAATGAGAAACGCCGCAGCTCAGCCAATGAGAAATGCCACAGCTCAGCCAGTGAGAAACACTGCAGCTCAGCCAATGAGAAATGCCGCAGCTCAGCCAATGAGAAATGCCGCAGCTCAGCCAATGAGAAACACCACAGCTCAGCCAATGAGAAACACCACAGCTCAGCCAATGAGAAACACCACAGCTCAGCCAATGAGAAATGCCGCAGGTCAGCCAATGAGAAATGCCGCAGCTCAGCCAATGAGAAATGCCGCAGCTCAGCCAATGAGAAACGCCGCAGGTCAGCCAATGAGAAATGCCGCAGCTCAGCCAGTGAGAAACGCTGCAGGTCAGCCAATGAGAAATGCTGCAGCTCAGCCAATGAGAAGCCATTGCCTCCCTGAAATGTTACTTTCCCCTAAAGGACTTGCATTTAGAGCAGCCCCTCCCTCCTCCCCCTTCTTCTCTATAAAGGCAGCTCCCCTCCTTTGTTCTCTGGATTTGCCTATAGTTTGCCATAGCATGCACATCTCAAATTGCAATTCTCTTGGCCATTCCTGAATAAACTCAGCTTGAGGATGAGATGTTAGGTGAACTTGCTTTCAAGTTGACACATGGGTGGGCAAGACTCCTGCAAGGTCGCTTGGTATATGGTGCTTGGGACAGAACCAAAGTCAAAGGGGGCTGTAGCTGAGTCCTCAGGGGTATGGACCTGTTTCCATGTCTACAGTAGGGACCACAGCTGGCAGGTCAGCCTCCTGGATGTGAACCTGCCTTTTCAAAATTATCTCTTTGTCCTTGGACTGCACTGGGGTTTCACAATCTCCTACCCACATCCCACAGCTCCCACAAAAGCACTTGTCCATGGGTTTATGCCAAATCATTGTTGTTGGGGAGGATCCAAGCAAGGGAGGTCTTATTCCACCATCTTGTTGAGACCCCAGTCCATGATTCTAATTCACCTTTAACTCTAATTTAGTTCTTAAAGTGTTCACACTTTTCTTTGAAAATTTATCTCTAGTTATTGTGTGTGGCCTCAGCCAAATTCCAACTTTTTTGTTCTATCTTCCTTATATCAAGACAAAGTTGACAGTATGCCCATTTTACAGTTGACAAAACCAAGACTCACCCGCGGTTAAGCAAATTGCCAAAACCCACTAAACTTGTAAATTCAGGAACTGGGAATGCTGTCCTCTCTTAGACAGTACGGAAAGGAAATGCTGCATTAGATAAGAGTTAAGACACTAGAAGCTTTATACATAGATTTATACACCTAGATCTACTAATTATTGGCTATGTGATCATCAGCAAGTGTTAGAACCTCTTTGTGCCTAGTTTTTCTTTTTTGGAAAGTGAGAATGATATTAGTACTTATTGCACAAAGTTTTCAAGAGGATTAAATGAGGTAATCTATTTAGAATGCTTTGAACATCAGTTGCCATGTAGAAATATAAAAGTGTTAGTTACTGTTATTCAAGACTAAGCGTTTTATTGGATATGATTTCCCAGGTCCCTGTAGAGACCCTTTCATGAGGTCGATGAGGTCAACGCTATTTTCATAATAATGCTAAGCATTATTTGCCCTTTTCACTTTTGTTCCTTCGTAAGTGTACAGCAGAGTTTTCCAGAGACATGTGTGTGATGACATCATTGCTCTGATTACTAACAAGGTATGTGCCTGTGTATAAGAATGTGTTTTAGGGGCTGGCCCCATGGCTGAGTGGTTATGTTCACGTGCTCTGCTTTGGCAGCCCAGGGTTTCGCTGGTTCAGGTCCTGGGCAGGGACCTAGCACTGCTCATCAAGCTATGCTAAGGCAGCATCCCACATAACAGAGCCAGAAGGACCTACAACTAGAATGTACAACTATGTATGGGGGGACTTTGGGGAGAAGAAGAAGGAAAAAAAAAATATTGGCAACAAATGTTAGCTCAGATGCCAATCCGAAAAAAAAAACCAAAAAAAGAGTGTGTTCTAAATTTTTCTCAGTTTAAATTTATAATATGCTAAATATAAAGAGATATAATGGACATTAAAAAAAAAGGTCTTTGGGGACATCAGTAATTTTTAAGAATATAAAGGCATCCTGAGGTCAAATGTTGAGAACTGTCGCACTAGATCAATGCTAGTTTGGTTCTCTCATGTGAAGTCTTCTGACTGGAGCCCATAAACTCCTGCAGTCTCTCACTTCCCCCCATTCATGAGCATTTACCTCTTGATGTGAAGTGTCATTTGTGTGGAAGATCCTGAGAAGGGAATGGGACTTATAGAATTAATGGATACAACTTACAGAATTAACTTCAGCAAAAAAGGGAGACTTTACTGGCTCAGATGATCAAACCAAGGGAAAGGCAGAGGCAGAATTCCAGACAACTAGAGGAAAGACTGTCCCCTTCATTCTCTTCTACTGCATGCTGGCTTTTGCCTCAAGGTAGGGAACAAAGCTTCAGCATCTTCATTTGACCTCCCAACAGTTTAGCTTATACAGAGAAAAGTCTTCCCTCACCTCTAGCACTGGTTAGAAGAATCGTGACTCTGATTGGGTCACGAGTCCGTGCCCAGGGGTACAGGTTAATATGCTAAATCCTTGGTCGTCTTCCTGGTTCCATGCTCTGAGGGTTTGACGGGTCACTACTAAAGTTGGACATATTTATACCTTCTGATTCAGCAATTCTTACCTGAGTATATACATTCACAAAAGACATGCAATAGAATGTTTGTAGCCGTGCTGCCCATAATGTTCCCACATGAAGACCACACTAATGATTATCAAGAGTAACATGGATGAACGACTTGTGGTGCATTCACACGGTGGAAAATTATACATCACTGAGAAAGAAGGGTCTACATCTATACACAACAATATGGACGAATCTCACACACATAATCCTGAGTGACAGAAGCCAGACACAAGGGCATAATTCAACTTAAATGAAATACCAAAAAGAGACAAAACTAATCTATGCTGTCAGAAATCATGCTGGTGGTTAACCTTCGGGGGTGGTACTTGGAAGGAGGTATGAAGCAGCGCTGGAAAATATCAGTTTCTTAATATGGTCGTCAGTCACTTGAGTGTTTAGTTTGTGAAAATTCACTTAGCTCTACACACACAACATATGCATTTTATAAAATATACATATTAAGGGATAAACAAAATGTGGTATATCCATACAAAGGAATATTACTCAGCCATAAAAAGAAATAAAGCACTGACACACGCTACAATGTGGATGAACCTCAAAAGCGTTATGCTCAATGAAATAAGCCAGACGCAAAAGGTTGCATATTGTATGATCCCACTTACATGAAATATCTAGAATAGGCCAATCCATAGAGAAGAAAAGAAGATTAGTGGTACCCAGGGGCTGGGAAGATGAGGAATTAAAGAATGACTGATTAACGGGTACAGGGTTTCCTTTTGGGGTGATGAAAATGTTTTAGAACTAAACAGATATGGTGGTTATACAACATTGTGACTCTACTAAATGCCACTGAATTGTTTCCTTTAAAATAGATAATTGCATGTCACGTTTTTTACCTCAAAAAAATTAAAAGTGTATATTAGACTTTAGTTTAAAAATTTAAAGATTGTATAAGGGGAAACTCTAGTTTCTCTGAGAATTTAGTTAACTTGCCAAAGATTACACTGTTAGCAATCCATCAGGATTGTGATATGAATGCAAGTGCTTCCCCACAAATGTCCTACTGATTCACCACCCCACCATCATGGGGGCGATAACCACCCGTCACCACTGAACTTTGGTTGTGCTTTTTTTTCAAGAAAAGGAGTCACCCACATGGAAGAAAGATAAAATCTTTATTGATAAGAAGGATTAGGGCAAGGATATATTTTGAGAGGCAGCTGATGAATCCTATAACTCCTGTCTCTTCAAGACCACGAAGACTTATCTAAAAACTGAAAGAAAAACAGAGGTTGAGATCAGTATAGCAGTCTGTCGTCCTCCAAGACAGGATAATCCTTTCTCCTCTCTGATGGCAGTTCTGGTCTCCCCCTAAGAACTAAACAGCATGAGTAAGTGGAACAGGAAAAGGATAAAGGAGCATTAGAGATCCATCACTGGCCTAAGGAGGATGCAAGTGTGGCTCGCTCGCTCTAAAATTCAATATACCATTATTGATTTTATTATTGATTATTTTAATGTATTGATTATTTTAATATAAGTTATGTAGTCCATTATTTGAACAAATTTATTAAATTGATAATTTTCAGTGCGAAGGAAGTTGTTAAAAATGGGCGTTCTCATAACGTTGACTGAGGATAATTTGGAATCACTTAAAATTTAACACACACGCACTTAACATGTACCTACCCTTTGGCTCAGTGATTTCTCTCAGGTACTATAATAAAAATAAAAAACCTCACACATTCTGGGCTGGCCCCATGGCCTAGTGGTTAAGTTCACGCACTCTGCTTCGGAGGCCCGCGTTCCATCCCTGGGCATGGACCTACATCACTTGTCAGCAGCCACACTGTGGCAGTGTCCCACATACAAAACAGAGGAAGATGGGTACAGATGTTAGCTCAGGGCAAATTTTCCTCAAGCAAAAAGTGGAAGATTGACAACAGATGTTAGCTCAGGGTTAATCTTGCTCAGCAAAAAATTATTAAAAACCTCGCTCAAAAATCAGTGTTGAAGGTATCCATTTGGTCATGGTAGTATCAAAATATTAAAAACAATCAAATTGTACTTTAATAGGGGAATGGTATATCCATATTTTGAAATTTGGTAAAAGGATGAAGAAACGTGGGGTAGATTTGTGCATTCACATGGAAAATGTACACATAATATATACATTGAAATGAAGATCAAGTTATAGGGCAAAGGGGATAGGAGAATTCATTTATGTCTAAAAAAACTTTAAAAGTTATATTTGTGTAAATGTATAGATTAAACTTGGAAGTCTACACACTGAAGTGTTCGTTGTGTTTTCTGCTGTGAAAGAGAGAAGAAAGGGGAGAGGAAATAGTAACATTTTACTCTCTCTGTTAATGTGTTGCTTCAATGTTTAAATGAGCTTTTATTCATGTATTACTTGTGTACATCAAAATAAATATTTAAACAATAAAAGTAATGCTTGCATACAGTTGCAAATATCAGACAGTGTGTAAAGACATACTAAGAATGTGGAACTTGCCAACACTCCAGTGCACATGTGACCATTATTAACATTCCCCCATAATAACCTAGTGCCTCGTTTCTATATTTATAACAAAATATTTGCCAGTGTTTTAAAAGTTTTGTTCTTAAAGTCGCCTACCTTCTAACATAACATTATATCTTAAGCACTTTTCATGTCACTAAATATCAGCCTACACATATTTTTGTGTGTGTGTGTGAGGAAGATTGGCCCTGAGCTAACATCCATGCCAACCTTCCTCTATTTTATGTGGGGTGCAGTCACAGCATGGCTTGATGAGTGGTGCTAGGTCCACGTCTGAAATCCGAACCTGCAAACTGCGGCTGCCAAAGCAGAGTGCAAGAACTTAACCTCTATGCAACCAGGCCAGCCCCCTACACGTCTGTTTTTAATACTCTGTTGTACTGTGCCTATCCTCATTAAATTATAGCCGATGGCTATATTAACTGCTTTTGGTCACCATGATGACCATCTGTTTATATACATATTTGTGCAGCTGTCCAATGTTTTCTTTAGGATATATCTATAGAATGGAAACTGCTAGGTCAAAGGGCAGGGCTATTGACGTACAAGGAGAGTTCAAGGTTATCCAAATCCTGGGTCATCTGTGGCAGGTACAAAGGCTCTGTGTGTCTCAGGGCAGGCTCCATTCTATATCCCAAGCATCCTTTCCCATTTTTCACCTACTTCTAATTAATGTTATCTTTTATTTTGTGTGTCTATGCACTGCACCTTAAATGCAGACACATAGTATTCCACTTACTCTATATTAAGCATTGTTGTGAGTGTTTTATAAAATCTAATGGATCTGATCTTCATAATCACCCTACGAGGTAAGACCAATTAATACACCCTTCTTCTCAACCACGATAAATGGTTGTGAATGGTTGTCTATAAAATGCCCATTTTATAGATAAGAAAGCAGGCTCGGGGAGGTGAAGTAAATGATGAATTGGTAATTGACACTTCAGCCCCAGAGGTTGTATTTTCAATCTACTGCCAGGATGGCCTCTCAATACAGAAAGGTAGCAGGGGTGTAGGAAGACAGGGTGGAGGAAAGAGTTATTTTGACACATAAAACTGAACATCTCTTGTGAAGCAGAGTGATAAATCCCCTGAAAGTCTTCTCTTGACGTAGGTTTTCAATATTATGGACCATGTCATTAGTGGAACTAAACGTGTATTCCTGTTTACTTGGCTGTTAGGAAGCTCAGCTCCAATTGAACAGTCTCAGCATACAGCCCATACAGTGCTAACTTTACTGCTTGCTCTATTAATCCTTGATTTTTAATCTATTGATTTTATTATTGTAAAGCTAGTTATTTTAATTAGCTGTCTTAAACTATCTGGACAAAAGCAGTAAAAAAGAAAAGAAAGAGGGGGAGAGAGAGATGTAACATCTCTTTCTGAGAACTCAGACTGTGACAGGACTGGAAGAGGTCTAGGAAAGCAGGCATAAGATGGGAATTTGGAGCTGGATCCCTCCCTACCTGTGATGGCAAGGAGGACCCATCACTGGTGGTACGTAAAGAACACGTAGCCCCTGGTGCAAGGTGGTGGTCCACTTGCTAAAATTCTCGCTGGAGTTGAATCGGGATGGTAGCCCAGTGGAAGGGCATACACTAGCTGGTTTAGTATTTCAGCAACTTGAGAGGTCTCAGGACTGTGCGAACAATGGAGCTGGATGACTATAGCTAAGCGTCACTGATATCCTATTATAAGGTAAGAAATAGCTGCAGGTGAATAACAGGTATCTGAAATCCAAGTGTGGAAACCATCAAGCCATCATGCTCTTGATCAAGCATCAAGAATCAATCTGCAGACCAACCTAGGAATTAATAACTATTGGCTGAGCTCCAGAGAAGGTCAAGGATCAAAAAGGTCAGTTAGGGGGAAAAAATTGGACCCCTTGCATGTATAAAACAACACAATTGCTATGTCTGGGTCCCAAATAGGGCTGTGACTCTTCCAGGAGCCCAAGAAGAAAGGTCAACCCAATCACTTACTAGGGTTACAATGTGGACAGGGAAAAAGCAGTTATTCAGCCTAGATTCAAATGAAATGCTCCACCTGGGTCTTTATCTGTGTGTCTCTGGTGTTGCGGACAATAACTCCAAAAGCATTTCCAAATTAATGGTTGTATGAGTTTTGACAAATGCATAGAGCCGTGGGGTGGAAATGAATTTACCGAATTTAGCGACTACCAAGTCTGGGCTAGGTTTGGGGCTTCATCACTTACTAGCTGATTGGCGAAAACAACCAGGATCTCAATGTCCGTTTCCACATCTATAAAATGGCAATTTTGATGGGAAGGGAGAGAATGAGTGGAAAGCTCATCACAGAGCCTTAGAGTTGGGACTCATTTAATGGAACTGGTTAGTAAGTGGTCTCTGCAGGAAGCTTCGTTAAGATGATGGAATTTGACACTGGGTTTGGGTATAGCCTATCCTCCTAAAGTCTTATTTTCCTCCTTTCTCTATGGGCATATGACACCTAGAATCACTTCCTAAGGTCATCTCGAACTTTATATGTGACACGATTGTGCATTTAAAAAAATCCTTACTATAATTTGAACATAGAGGTGAATGAACTCTCCAATGTCTGTTGACCATGGTTTTCTCCTTCCCACATCTTCTTTTCAATGGAAACTAATCTCATTGCTTCCTCTAAATAGGGTCAAGGACAAACCATCTATCCAAGCCAGGGGCCAACAAACTAGAGCCCAGAAGCCAAATCCAACTTGCCATCTGTTTTTTTGCATTGCCTGTGAACTAGTGGCTTTTCCATTTTTAAATGGCTGGAAAAAACCAAAAACCCAAAGGTGATTAATATTTTGTGACACCTGAAAATTATGTTACATTCAAATTTCAGGATCTACAAATAAAGTTTTCTTGGCACAAAGCCACGTTCATTTTTTTTTTAATTGTCCATGGCTGTTTTTGTGCTACAAAGTAGAGTTGAGTATGCGAGAGACCATATGGCTTGCAAAGCCTAAAATATCCACTATCAGGCCCTTTACAGGAAACGTTTGCTGACCCCTGATCTAAGCCATCACTACATAATCTGGATCCCAAACTTTTCTTTCCATTAATCCTGAGGGTTCCTCACTTTGAGAGATCTATAAGACCCCCACTCCATCCTTCCCCAGTCAACTTACTTCTGAGGAGAGCATTGCTTCCATTTTCTATCTCTGTTGTAATTTTTTGTCAACGAACACCAACTCCTATTAAAAATATAGCCTTCCTTGGTGCAATGGTGAAAGATCTTTTGCTTGAAGAAGAAAGGGAAGGAACATTTGGGGGGATCTGCAGAGAAAAGGAGGCGCAGAAGGAGAAATATGAACATAGAAAGTTTTATGATTAACCATTGCTATACTAACAGCAAATGCTTTTTCTACCACAACAAACCGTGTTCAAAGTGGTAGTTAAAACATGTAGAAAAGTCAGGATTTTGACTCAGGTTTATCCAACCCCCCCCAAATCATGTAACCAACTGCTATCAATTGCTTCTTGGATCGTAGGTACCCAAGACAGTCCATCACATGAATCCTCACCTTGCCCAGTGCAGTACCGCCACCGGCCTTGGAATTCCGTGTCAAGAGAACACCAGTCATAATCACTGTGGATGGAGATGCAGTTGTAGTGGGTCACGTCACCATACACAAACGGAAAGACACAGTCACGGTCAACAAATTCTGGGAAAGAGAAAATATGCTGAATGTGGGGCGAGGTTACAAAGGGAATTGACTTTCTCATGTCCATTGCAATGATGGACACCTGCTTGCTGATCCTACTGCTCCCCTCCCACCACCCCCCCCCGCCCCCGACATCCACATGTGGTTGGTCTGGCCAACCACCTTCCCTGCGTGTGGCACAAAATACAAGCGAATATCAAAAAAAGCCATGTTTCAACCCAGAGCTGGAAACAGACTGGAATTGCTGGCTTCCTTTTCACATAAGTCCTCTAGCGACTGTACACCCGATCTCCTAAGATGAGTCTTAATTCTGGAGTCTTTCTTATAGTCTCTTTTCTCCATCTCTCCTAGAAAAATAAATTTCTTCGCCTGTCAAAGTGAGTCCCTAAGTGTCTCTTAAAGTTGTGCTGTTCCCTACACCCTCTTTGTCACCACCTAGCTTTGTGCTTTTCCTTGACCAACGCAATAATTTTTTCTGGATGCTTCCAACCTATTTGTCCCATCTGTTCTTTACACCACAGGGAGAACGTTCATTCTTAAGTACTAACCTGACCCTGCCACTAACCTCTTAATATCCCACTGCTCTTAGGATAAGAAATAGCATTGAAATGGCTTATGATACTCTACCTGATTGGCTCCCAAATACACCTCCAGCCTCACCTCAGACCACTCGTCCTTGTGCTCTCTCTGCTCAAGCATTGTAAGGTGTCCTGAGGGTGCCAGCATCTTCCTCACCTTAGGATTTACAGACAAGAGCTTCTCCACTTGGCGGGATTGCCACACCCCTTGGCCTGTTTACCCTCTTCTTAAGTTCAGCCTAATGTGAATCTCCATGGAGATCACATCCAGACTATAACAGATCCGCTTGTACTGAACTCTCTTACAAATTCCCTTTCCTTATATTTATTTAATGTGCAATGGCTTGTTCAGAGCCTTTCTCATTTGTCAGACATGATCGCATGTATCCTGTTTATTGCTAGACTCTTGGCGGTACATAAAAGAAACAATAAATATTGTTTGGCCCTTCATAAAAAGTCATTTTGATGTAAGATTCGTTTATTTTTATTGTTTAGCCATTGTTCATTATTTATTATTCACATTTATTATTTAATAATAATGTTATTTTAAAACGATTGTTAGCACTTTTATTATTTAACTATATTGTTATAATATTTTATCATTTAATATTTAAAATTATTTAACAATTTTTATTACTTAGCATTATTTATTATCATGTTCATTATTAATTGGTTATTATGTAGCTTATTCTGTGCTAGACATATTAAGTACAATTTACAAACACTAGCACGTAATGATATCCTTACATCAGTCCAATGAACTGGGTATGGTCATTAGGCCTCCTTCCAAGGTCAGCTTTGGTCCTCAGCACACAATCTCGATATACAGAGAAACCGTGCTATCCACTGCTCTGCAAATAGCTTTCTTCTGACCCTAAAGCCAAGAGGGAATGATGGGCCACATTTCACTACCATGTGCTCCAGGCTATGTTCGTTCAACCACAAACAAGTAATTGGTGATTGAAATAAGTAAAAAAACAATAAACGTTTTGGTAACCAAAGTTTCTCTTTCACTGGCTTGACTACCCCACAAAGTCTTCCCACATCTTTATTTCTCTCTTGACACTCCCAATTTCATGAGAGCTAGAGGTTAAAACTGAGTACCAGCTGTCTACATGTGGATATGGTTCAACTCTTCCAAGAGTTGAGACACCAAGGCAAAGTTATGAGCCCTTATGAGTCCCATGATTATCTTTTTAACTTCTTAAAAAAAAACAGGTGCAAAAGATCACATGTATGATTCCATTTATGTGAAATGTCCAGAAAGACCAATCTATAGAGGCAGAAAGTAAACTAGTGGTTGCCTGTGCCTGGGGATGGGAATGGGGGAGTGACAACAAATGGGTACAAGGAATCTTCTTGGGGTGATGGAAAATGTTCTAGAATTGGATTGTGGTGATGTCTACACCACTCCGTCAATTTACTAAAAATCACTGAATGGTGTATTTATTTTTATTTTTTTATTTATTTTTCCTTCTCCCTAAAGTCCCCCAGTACATAGCTGTATATTTTAGTTGTGGGTCCCTCCAGTTGTGGCATGTGGGATGCCGCCCCAGCATCGCCTGATGAGCAGTGCTAGGTCCATGCCCAGGATCCGAACCGGCGAAACCCCGGCCCGCCAACGCAGAACACTCGAACTTAACCACTTGGCCACAGGGCCAGCCCCTGAATGCTATATTTAAAATGGGTGAATTTTATGGTGTGTAGATGTGTACTTCTACATATAAGGCTGTTAAAAGTAACTAATGAACAGACAATAAAACCCACAAATGCTAGTGTTAGTTCCAACGGAGAAGAGAATACTTTTCTGGAGGGACCGGAAAGAACGCTTGGAAAGCTGACTGAACTGGATGTTGAAATATATGATTTGGCTGCCATGACCTAGGAGGGCCTTTCATGCTAGCAGAATAGCAAAAGGAAGAATAAAATGTGAGGAAAGTGCAAAGAATTCAGGAATATAATATTGTCTCATGGGGGCTAAAATTTGAGATGCTAACAAATGAAGAGAAGTCTCCCCACCTGGAACTGGAGGGTGTAAATGGGCAATCAATTCTGAAAGAGAAAAAAAAATGAGTAAAATTTAGACCACCTCTTAAAACACTCCATTCCTAGACTAATGGCTGTTAAAAGTACCTTGAAGTTCATGTAGCCAACTGCTCTCGTTACAGAAAACCCTGTGCTGTCCCATGTTGGATGACTTATGATTATTTCCAATTGGGAGAGTCTCACATGTACCCAAGAAAGCCCAATAATTCACGTATGAGTTCCTATTGTGCCAAACGTCTCTCTTTGAGTAGGTCCATTCCATCCAATGTCACTCAACTTCCCCGTTGGTTGAAGTTCCGCAAGTCTGAAGATTAGAGGGAACATTCTAGCTTCTTACCCATATGTCAACGTTTTGGGAAAACAACCTTCTGTTCAGCGCTAGAGGCTGAATATTCCCAGTACCCTTGGTGATTTTACTTTGTTTTGCTTCTTAGAAAATGTGGCTCTTTTATCATCCCTGAGCCTATTTCAAGGAGTAAGGGTCTTGGTAACACCACCACCATCAAAGCCAGTTAGACCTGGTTAAAGACTAGAAAGGAAATGCAAAGACCTGTCAACCCATCGCATTAGCTAACGTTTCATTGGCCATTCCTATGTTCCAGTCATTGTCCTCAGCTGATCTTTGTAACAGCCACGTAAAGGAGAGGTCATTATGTAGAGCTCTCTTCTCCTCCCCATTCCCCAAAGGCTTACAGATGAGCAAACAGGCAACAGAGAGTGACTGGAAGTTATGTCACTACTGGGTGGGAACTAGGCTCAAACTCAAGAAGGCTGACTTCAGAGACAGTTTTACGAATGCAACGTAGATATTAACTTGGAACTGTCACCACCTTGTGCAAGTGACATAACCCAGTTGCCTCCTTTTCTTTATCTTTAATATAACAATGCTAATTCATAAGTTCACATGAGACTCTAACTCAGGGACTACTGTGTGGTGAGCACGCATTCGTGTTAGCTGATAGCAGCCCTGCTCCTGAGAAAGTAGCTAACAAAACATCAATGTTTTTGAAGTCATGGTTACATAAATGATTATTTTATATATTTTATATATAACTTCTTATACAGGTGCCTGCTTCTGTACTTAGCGCCTTGTGCTAATTATCTCACAGAAATTGATGCCTGCAATACCCCTTTAAGGTTGGTGTTGTTATATATTATATTTATAGGTGACATATTGTAAATGATGATCTCCATTTTCCAGATACAGAAACAGACGCTTTGAAAATAGACACACAGATCAATGGAATAGAATTGAAAGCTCAGAAATAAAACCACACATCTACAAACAGCTAATCTTCAACAAAGGGATGAAGAGCATACAATGGAGAAAGGAAAGTCTCTTCAATAAATGGTGTCAGGAATACTGGACAGCCACATGCAAAAGAATGAAAGTAGACCATTATCTTACACCATACACAAAAATTAACTCAAAATGGGTGAAATACTTGAAGTAAGATGTGAAACCATAAAACTCCAAGAAGAAAATATAGGCAGTACACTCTTTGACGTCTGTATTAACAGCCTCTTTCTGCATACCAGATCTACTTGGACAAGCGAAACAAAAGAAAAAATAAACAAATGGGACTTCATCAGACTAAAGAGCTGCTACAAGGCAAAGGGAACCAGGAACAAAAAGAAAAAGAACCTGCCAGCTGGGAGAAAATATTTGCAAATCATTTTTCCAACAAGGGGTTCATCTCCCAAATATATAAAGAACTCATACAACTCAACAACAAAAACACAAACAATCTGATCAAAAAATGGGCAGAGAATATGAACAGACATTTTTCCAAAGAAGATATGCACATGGCCAACAGGCACATGAAAAGATGTTCAACATCACTAATCATCAGGGAAATGCAAATCAAAACTACAATGAGGTATCACCTTACACCCGTTAGAATGGCTGAAATCACCAAGACAAAAAATAACAAATGTTGGAGAGGATGTGGAGGAAAGGGAGCCCTCACACAGTGCTGGTGGAAATGCAAACTGGTGCAGCCACTCTGGAAAACAGTATGATTTCTCAAAAAATTAAAAATAGAAATGCCATATGACACAGCAATCCCACTACTGGGTATTTACCCAAAGAACTTGAAATCAACAATTCAAACAGGCTTATGCTCCCCTATGCTCATTGTAGACTAATTCACAATAGCCAAGACATGGAAGCAACCCAAGTGCCCATCAACTGATGAATAGATAAAGATGTGGTATATATACATACAATGGAATACTAGTGGCTGCTGCTTCTTTACCAACCACATCTTTCTCCTCCTTCCAGTCTGCCTTCTTATAGAGAAGATTTATTGAGATGCCCAGCATAGAATTGCTCCTGCTTTCTGACAGCATTCGACTGAGTGAACTCCAGCTGCCTTAACCTAGCCCCCCAAAATCTCCCAACCAGAGCCCAAACCCTAGAATAAGTTCTGACACCTTCTTGTTTAGAACCCCAAGGTGCCCCATGGTACCGCAGTGGTGGTCTTCCTGGCTGCCATGAGTGATAAACCCAACTAGTTCAACTCCCGTGAGCTCCTGGTGGGCCTGGATTGAATGGAGGGTACTCACAGATCCAAGAGCTTTGCCTACCTTTTCTACTTTAATTTTTACAACAACTAGGAGAGAGAAAGATCAACTGCTCTCTAGTGAATTTAATTGTTTTCTGGGAGGCAATGCACATGGTTCAAACTTCAAAAAAGGTATAAATGAGAAATGATAAATGCCCTCCCAGCCATCCATGACCCCAGCCACCCCGTCACCCTCCCCACAGGTAACTGATGTTGTAATTCTTGTGAAACCCACAGACATATTATATTAATATTTGAGTGTTTGTATTAAAAATACGTTGGTCCTTTTTTACACAATGGATAGCCTAGCCTACCTACCATTTATTTTGAACCTTGCTCCCTTAACAAAAGATCTTGGAGAACTTTCCAAAACAACACATAATAAGCTTCCTCTTTCTCTTCTTTCTTTGTGTTTTTTTAATTATGGTAAGAACACGTTACATGAGATCTAGCTGCTTAACAAATTTTTAAGTGCACAATCCAGTACTGCTAACTACAGGCACTATGCCGTCCAGCAGATCTCTAGAACACACTCATGTTGTGTAACTGAAACTTTACGCCCACTGAACACCAGCTCCCCATTTCCCCTTCCCCCAGCCCTTGGCATCCACCATTCTACACTCTGTTTCTATGAGTTTGACTATTTTAGATACTTCATATAAGTAAAATCATGCAGCATTTGTCCTTCTGTGACTGCCTTATTTCACTTGGCATACTGTCCCTCAGGTTCATCCATGTTGTTGCACGCGGCAGGATTTCCAAGCGTCCTCTTTCTTCAAGATTATTATTACCATTCTATAGCTGAGAAGGCTGAGGCTTAAAGAGAGGCAAAGTTGCTTGCCCGTAATCACCCAACCAGTGATAGGAAGAACTAGGATTTGAGCCCAGGGCTCTCCAAATCCTCTCTTCTGCTCCAACCATTATGCTGTGTTTACAAGATATTATGAACAATGCATAGCATCTGTTTCCTGCTCATCTCACCCAAAACCACCGCCTCCTAGGTCTCCCCTTCTTCCTCTGTCACCTCCTCCTCCCCTCTCTCACACATCTTGCCATCTCACCTGCTTTCAGTCCATACACACAGAGTACCAGGGACACCCAGCTTGCCAGATTTTTCATTGCCTCCAATTACCTGCAGATGGCCTGCAGCGTAGCAAACATTGCCTCTGATTTTATACTCTCCAATTTCTGCCCCTCCTCCTCAAACTGCTCTTGTAGCACACAGACTTACTCCTTAGCATTTTCCCCCATGCTCTATATCTCAGGGTGCGTAGAAAAATTAGGAAGATCCATCTCAGAATGCTCTATAGTGGCATTCTGAAAGCGTGTTCCCCGGACAAGCTCCATCTCCCTCCCCTGCAAACTTGTTAGAAATTCAAATCCTCAGGCCCCACACCAGACCTGCCGAAACTCTGGGGATGGACCAGCCACCTGTGTTGTAACAGGATCTCCGGGGGAGTCCAGTGTTGGCTAAAGTTTGAGAAGCACTGATCCAGAGCTTGCTTAATACTTTCATTTCCATTTTAAATCATTTACTCACTGGAATATTTTTTTAAGTGAAAGTACAGTGAGAAAAGCAAAGCCAGTTTTAGTCTCCTGGATAAGTAAATCTCAGAAAGGTCAAGCATTGTGCCTCTGGTTAGCTAGCACTTGGAAAGCACAGATCTAACCCCAGCTCCTGTGCATGGCCCCAGTCCACTTTAGAATTCCTTCCCGGTCCACCATGTCTGGAGGGATCTGGGGATAGTAGAAGAAGCAAGAGCACTTTATGAGAGAGAACGGATTGAAAGAGTGAGCCCACTCATCAAGAGGCAGTGTCCCGATGGACCCCCAGGGTGAGCCAAGATAAAGAACAGACCATCGTAGCACCCAAGCATCATGAAAGTGTCAGGAAGGGAGGAAGTTAACACTCGTCCTTCAGCATCTGCCTGTGCTGGGATATTCTCAGAAAGCATCTCAATTATGCCCATATGCAAAGAAATGGGGACCAGGGACCGGTTAGAAATACATTTGCCTTTTCCATATAAAGATGAGAAAAATGGAATGCAAGAGAAGTGCAGAAACTCTGATAAAGGCAGAGAGCCTGGAGAAGCTGAGTTTCTCCTGTCTGACACATCAGCTTTTGCTTTTGGTTATGCACCATTTTCCTGAATTGATGAATCTTAACAACCTTCTGCCTCTCTGCAGATAGTGAGGTCACCTGTCAATCACGAGTAGGCAATAGGGGCTAGCGTTGGTGGTCTGCCCGCACGAGCTGGGAGAGACTTTATGATGTGGGAATCATAACCCTGGCTTGACATCTGGGGAAACTGAGGCTCAAAGAAGCAAAATCGTTTGTGAAGGTTATGTGGCTTGTGCAGAAGTGGAAGGGCGTAGATTCAATCCAGGCTCTCCGACGTCAAGACTTCTTGCTCTTCCTCACCCCGTTGTTAGCGAGGTCTTAGAGGTGAAGAGGCTTCACGGGAACCCTGGTCTCTTCAGAGCACAGGTTCACTCTTACTTTCTCCTGGTTCCAAAGACAGAACTTGCTTCATTTCTGACACTTGCTAGCTGAGTAACTCTGGAAAGTTATTTTTGCTTTCCGAGCCTACACACCAGCTCTCTAAAATGTTTGGGCTGCATGCACCCACTTTAAGAGCCCAGTGAACATTCTTTTTCTTTCTTTTTTTTTTTTTTTAGTTAATTCCAGTTATTTTCCATGACATCATAGTCCCTAAATCTATAATTATCACTATCCAAGATCCACACAAACAAAATCAATGAGAACGTGAGACTAGTTTTCCACATCTCTTATTTAATAAGCTCATATCTGTGGGTGGTTTTTTGAGCTTTTGTTACTTAATAGGGAAGACAGTTGGCGCATCTTTGACTTTGGTTTGTTTCACTTATTTTTTTTTTCGTGAACTAAAAAAGTGCCCTTAATTCTCACTGTAACTTCTCCCGAGGACAATGGGAAGTTATGTTCCTAAACACTCATGAGGTTTCAGATGTGTTGATAAGTATGTGCCGAGTGGGTGAGGCACCATCTAGAGATTCACCCCACAACACACCCTAAAGACATGGTCAGGACGCTCTGAGAAGGACACAGAACACCCTACCCTCTGGAAGGGATGAAGTAGACATCAGAGAGAAACCATTATTCCTTTCTTGCTCAAGTGAATAGTCACTATGCCCCAGGGCACTCAACCAACTGTGATAAAATACTTTTCAGAAATTAAGTTGGTATCTACTCAACAGCACAGGGACGGTTAAGGTGAGGATGAAAGAAAAAACCTACCAATCTTATCATCCTACAGCGCGGTAGAGCTAGACTTGGGTTCCACGTCTAGTTCCCTGAGATGACCACTAATCTCAGGGAAATGATTCTAGCAGAGAGGGGGTTATGTGGGGTTCAGTTTTATCCTCAGAAAAAATGAAGAGATATGGAATACTGGGTTTGGATTTAGAATGTCTACTTGCAGTGCCAGCTCTGGAACCGGGGGAAACTGTACGACTACTGACATCAGACTAACTTTCAAGTTCTGGATTTCTCACTTATTTGCTGGTGACGTTAACCAAATAGCTTAACCACTATCTTGCACAGAGGTTGTTTAATATCTATGTTTCACAGAAGCACAGCACAAGATGAATAACAGGTGTTCAACCTTCGCTAGTATTTAAGTGTTGGGTAATTGTAGATAAAATCCATAAATCTTCCTAAAACCCTGTGCATTTGTCTGCTAGGGCTGCCATAAAAAAATGCCACGGACTGAGCTGCTTAAACAAGAAACGTGTATTTTCTCGCAGTTCTGCAGCCTAGAAGTCCATGATCAAGGGCCGGCAAATCTAATTTCTGGTGAAGGCTCTCTTCCTGGCTTGCCGACAGCTGTCTTCTGGCTGTGTCCTCACACAGTCTTTCCTCTGTGCTCACGTGGAGAGGAGAGAGAGAGAGAGGAAGAGAGAGATCTCTGGTGTCTCTTTGGGGGTTATGGTATCAACATATGAATTTGGGGGGGCAATACAATTCAATCCATAACACCCTGATTTATCTCTACAAAATGAGATTGTTGGTCTCAGCCTCGTTTGCACCATGGGAAAATCTGAGATCATGGACATGAATTGAGAGCCAACATAAAAAGCAAAGATGTCTCGATTCTTGGAAGAGTTGAACCAAATCCACACGTAGACAACTGGTACTTAATTTTAATCCATAGCTCTCACACAGTTGAGAGTTTCAAGAGAGAACTAAGATGTGGGAATTCACTGGCACACAGAGAGGTATTGAAGAGAAAGAGGATGAGCATTTTGTTAAGGGTCAGAAATGCCTGGGTTTAGGGGCCAGCCCTGTGGCCGAGTGGTTAAGTTCGCTTGCTCCATTTCAGCAGCTCAGGGTTTCACTGGATCGGATCCTGGGCGCGGACATGGCACTGCTCATCAGGCCATGCTTGAGGTGGCGTCCCACATAGCACAACCAGAAGGACCTACATCTAGAATATACAACTATGTACTGGGGGGCTTTGGGGATAAGAAGAAGAAGAAAAAGAAGATTGGCAACAGATGTTAGCTCAGGGGCCAATCTTTAGGAAAAAAAGAAAAAAGAAATCCCTAGGTTTAAATTTAATGTCCACCTCTTTCCCACTGTGAAACTCTGGGCAACTGGCTTAAACTATTTCAATCTTGTTTTTCTCATCCACAAAAGTGGGCTCACCAAAATACTCTTTATTTTCCCCAGTAAACCTGCTCATCCTGCTGTCCCATCTCTAAATGACACAACCATGTGCCTGGATACATGAGTCACGCTGTGGTCACCTTCATTCCCAGCTCCCACCCTATATCCAGTCTACCAGCAAATCCTATGGACTTTATCATTGAATGATATCCTGAATCCAGTCACTTCCCACTTCTGCCAAAGCCCTCTCTCTGATCTGGTTGCAATCATTTTTTCTCCCAGCATACCGCAACAGCTACCTAACCGGTCTTCCTTCTCTTTACCTCTATCTTCTCTTCATCCCCTCCATACAGTAGCCAGACCAAGATCATGTTGCTGCTATGATGGGAATTCCCAATACCTCTCCGTGACACTTAGAAAAAACACTCAAAACCCTACTTGATCAGTCCTCTGATGTTCTCCGATGTTCTCCTCTGATGTCCTACTTGATCAGACCTCTGATGTCACTCAAACCAGGTGACCTCCATGCCATTCCTTGAACGTACCAAACACAACGCTATTCCAGGGCATTTACATTTGTGTGTCTGCCTGCCAGAAACTCTATTCCTCGAAGACGTCAGGCAGGATTCCCTCCCTCTCTGTCTTCAGATCTGTGTGATTCAATGTCTCGTCTACTCAGAAAGCACTCTCAGTCACTCTCTGTAAAGTGGTGACTCTATAACTCTCTCTCCAGTGATCATCTCTACCTGACATAATTCTCCACATTTATATCCATGTCTATATCTGTATCCATATCTATGGATGTGTGTGTTTCCTTGGTTATTATCTTTCTCCCCCACTAGATGGTAGACTCTGGAGGCAAGGACTTCCTCCTGTTCAATATGTCATCTCCAGGAAGTTCATCAATGCCTGACAAATAGTACATGCTCAATGGCCACTTTTTGAATAAAAAGACTATGCCTCTCTCACAGGCTTGGTGTGAGGGTTTTATGAGATAATATGGTAAACAATTAGGCCAGAACATGGCACAAGCTAAGCCGTCATAAAGGGTGGCGATTGTCATCATCAGTCAGTCTAGCGACTATGACTTGCTTTGTAGTCATGGATGAGAAATTTCTGGTGTTCATGCCTGGTAGAGAGTAGATGGGAACGATTTTCAAAGTCTCTTCTATGGCCAGCTGAAGTAACTAAATGTTTTCTTGAGAAACTAGTATTTCTGGCTTTGAAGAGCTGAGGGCCAGTTTTGGCCGCGTTGACAGCAATACCTAAAACGTCCCATTAACCAGTCTGGTACATTGCTAAGGGCAAGGAATGCCTTGTGTGTGGGCCAAATGGCATATTTGTGAGCATGCCTAAATGTTCTCATGTTCACTACATGCATGAAAAAATTATATAAATATGTACATGCATTTTTTGGGGGGGTAGAGGCTGTTTAGTTTGTTGGAAAATACTGTGAATCCGCAAGTCTGATAAATCTGAGTTTGATGCTCCCTTCCACCTCTGAGCAAAATCATCATAAGTAATTATTAACTTTAAGAATGATGTTCCTGGGGCTGGCCCCGTGGCTGAGTGGTTAAGTTCGTGCGCTCCGCTGCAGGCGGCCCAGTGTTTCGTTGGTTCGAATCCTGGGCGTGGACATGGCACTGCTCATCAGACCACGCCGAGGCAGCATCCCACATGCCACAACTAGAAGGACCC